GGAGTATGTTAATCAAGTTTTGGAGCAGTATTTAAGATGTACCATCAACTACCAATAAGATGATTGGACAACTCTTTTGCTATTGGCAGAATTTGCTTATAATAATATGGTATATTCTTCTATAAAATAAACACCTTTCTTTATCAATTATGGTTATCATCCACAACTTGATACTTTTGACTTTTCAAAAGCTGATAATCCTACGACAAAAGATTTGGCAAATCATTTATCAGAGCTACATGCAATAATGAAGGCATAGTTAAAAGAAGTTGAAGAACAACAAAAGATCAATGCAGATGTCTATCAAAAGGAACAATCGCCATTCCACATAGGTGACAAGATATGGTTATTTCATCGTAATATCAAGATCACTCGTTCTTGTGACAAGTTGGATTATAGTAGACTTTGACTATTTCCTATTTTTGTACAAATCAATCCAGTTGCATATTGTTTATACCTACCGTAGTTAATAGAAATTCATATAATATTCCACGTATCTCTTCTTGAATCATATAAGACAATGGACATATCAAGAAAAAGACAAGCTCTACCTCCTTCTATTGAAGTGGATAATAATAAAGAATTTAAATTTGAAGAAGTACTAGATTCAAGGCGATATAGAAATAAATTGAAATATCTTGTCCATTAGCACAAATATGATATTAGTGAATGCACATGGAATCTAGTAAAGAATCTTAAAAATGCAACAAAGGCGATGGAGGCTTTTCATTGACGACATCTATCAAAATTAAGATAAAAACCTTCCTCATAAAAGAAACAAGATCTAGGTAAGATAACATTCTACTTTCAATATTTGTTTATAGCTTCTTTGTAGTTGTGACACTAAAGAGATGGAGAACCAATAATTAGCTTATTCGACTGAAGAGCCTTCATTTATTGATCTGCCAGATGAGACATTGTGATTGTCACAACCTTTAAGATGATGCAATCGAGATGAAGATCCTTAAGAACGATATGTTTTTTCTCAAATAGAAGATAAGATATAACGCGTTTGGTATCACGACCTTGGAAGAGACTTTCGATGTTTGGTAATTTTATTAGAGGTAGGAACAACTCCTGACAATATTCTAAATATTTTATTTGAAAGAAGTTATAAAGGCATCAACAATGATTAGATAACAAGGTGGTCTTCCCGCCCTGATATAAGACACTATCAATGATTGAGAGGCCTTATCAACCATCTTCAAAGAGAATAAAGATATGAGTATGTCGCAAATATAATTTGTCACATTATAGATTTTTCTCAATATATGATGATCGCTCCTCATGGAACTTGTGTGTAGAAAAGGGGGTAATATCATGGACATATGCATCTAAGCCAGTAATTACCTGTATAAATAGGCAAAAGTAAATAGAAGTAGATAAAAGCAAGATAATTCTATAATATCTTCTATGGAAGCTTCCTAGAAGCTTTATAGACTCTACTTTGACTTTATAGGTGTCTTTAATTGAATTTTTAGATTAGAAACGTGGTCAACAAGTTGGCCATGTACCACATATGTTGTTAGCTTGAAGACCAAGCTAACTATATAGCCCATACATAGAAAAACTTGCCTTATAAGTCATGGCATGTGTCTTACAAAGTCAACACATATTGGAGGTCCTATAGAATATTGCCACATAGCCTATAGTTAGATAGTATATATAGAGACAAGAATAAAGCCCTCTTCACTCTTGTCAACTCCTTCCTTGTTTCTAATCTAGTTTCAAGAGTCTCAAGTTTTCTTGTCTTTTGGCAATAAGCCTTTCCAATTTCTTTTAATATATGTACTTTCTTATTTTTATTTTGTAACTCTTTCTTTGATACAGATTTCATTGGTTTATGCATCATATTTTAGTTCATGTCCTTGATAAGCTTTTATAAAGCTTTTCTAAAAAATATTATGAAATAAATCTACTTTTACTTACTTCTACTTAATTATATAAGTAAATATTATAATAAGTATGTATGACTATGACAACATAACAATTTGAAAGATTTATAGAAAGAAATAATAGAGCAAGATATTTTTAAAAAATATATTCTTTTAGCTTTGAAATAAGAATCAATAAATTATTCAAATCAAATTATCAAATTTATATATCAAATAATTAAATATCCAAATTATATAATCAATATCTTTAAAAATCTTAAGTTTATTATAATTAATAAATATATATTTAAAATTTTTAATATAAGATTTTATATTTGAATTGTTAAAAATTTAATAATAAGCTATAATCAATGATTTTTAAATAAAATAGATTATTTAATATGTTAATTTAAATTTAATTAAAAATTAAATTTATTAATATAATAAAAAAATATAATAATAATAATAATTTATTTAATCTAAAATAATTTATTAAGATATAAAAAATTGAATAAACTATTAAAATTCTACGTTTTAAGTTGATTTTAATAAAATAGATTCTAAGGTTTTGATAGTATGATAATTATTTAATGGCCTATGGAACTTGGTAAAGTTGCATAAATAGAAAAAAAATGAGATAGTAATGAGTTTGTCAATCCTTAAATCTAATGTTAGTATCATAAAATAGAAGCATGTGCAATTATATCTAAAAATAAGGATAGTGACTAATTTTCTTTTTAAGTTTTTGGTTTGAGGCCAACAAAGAAATTCTTAATTGTGCTTCTTCTTCTAATATGTTAGTGCTGTAGGTTTAGAGATAGCACAATAAAGACACTAAATTATTACAAATTTTTTAATTTTTTGTAAAGAAAAAACTAGTGTGTTCAAAATTATTGCAATTTAATTAGAAGTAGGGTTTAAAAAATGGATATAATACAAAGTAACTTACTTGTGAGATTTAATAAATTTTAATTTAATTTAATTTTTAAAAAAACATGGATTTATAATTTAGTTTATCAGAAAAAAAATTATTAATTTCATTTTGTTACATGATGTTTAAAAAATGTGTAATAAATGTGAAATTAGCAAACCTTTTGCATTGTAATGAATGTGTTCTAAGTGTTTCAGTAAAGAACCAAGAAGTAAATTTACTTATTAACCGTCTACAAAAAAAACTCAACTAAAACTTGCCCTGTATTTGGAGGATAGATTGACAATTTTACAAAAATAGAATTACATATTTAAAATCTATCATAACCATCTGACAAAGCTCCTTATGTAGATATACTTGACTAGCTTTGTTGCAATTCTCATAGAGAATTATAACATTGCTACAGATATCTTTTACCCCAGTAAAGGAGGGCTCTGGCTCCATCCTCAACATTCCATAGTTAAAACCAGATGAGGAGCAACTCAATCTCGAAGGGCAGAGACTCAAAAACAGGACCCTACAAAGTGTGAAGAATAACATTATAGGAGGAGAGGGCTACTATCCTCTTTTCTATCACACTAAAAAAAACCACGCCTTTGAGTGAGACACAAGAAAAGAAAAGAAAAGAAAAGAAATCTCAGTCATAGATCAGATACCATGTGTTTTAAACTAAAATAAAACGCGAGATATGACGAGGCATAGTTGTGTGTTGAGTGAACACAGTACACAGCAGAAAGTTTTTTCACTCCAGAAGGAATGTCCGTCGCCAGCCAGTTTGTCTTTTCAGTGTACTGTCGCAGCTAATCAATCTACTTGATCTGACGACAAAGCATCCGCAACAAGCAGTTCGCTCTCTGCTTGTCAACCCCTGTCCATCCCCCGACTGGCTGGCGCTTTTAGAAAAAGTATTACTGCAACTCCGTGGGCATGGTTCTCTTCCTCGCGGCCAAAAGTGCGCGCTGCAAGTCTGGAGCAATGTGAGCAGATCTATGACCCGCGCAGTCTTACATCTACAAGGACGGCAAAATCCCGTATGGCCTTCAGCAACTGTTGCAGAAATTCTACCAGCGTCGTCGTTGTCAACACCAACCTGCGATCGTGCGTTGTAGGGTCCCTGGCTTGGCTTGCAACCGATGAAAGCCCATGAAATGGGCTTATGAAAATGGTTCTTCTCTCTGCAAAGCTGCAGCAGCCCCTTCACGCAAGTCTGGCCAGGGCCTCCACCACCAACGTACCCATCCGAACCGTGTGAACGGATCTGGCGGGAACTGCCACGTGTTAGCGTCTCTGTGCTTTTTGCTACGTCATCCTCCACGTATGCGTCCACGTTGCGCTTGACACACTGTTCAATGTGAGACGCGTGACTTTGAACGGGGTGAAGTCATGGAGGTCCATTTGGTGTGGGCGTAAATTAGTATGGGTGAGAATTTAGCTTGGATGGAGTGTAGAAGAGGGAAGCGAGGAAATCAATGTGATGTAGGTTGTTTAACTTGGATTTGCACAATTGACTCATTCAAATTCTCAAAAACAGGCATTGTGTACATTTCAATCATTTACATATACCATTTGATTTGTAGATGATGTGGTGAAAAAATGACACCATTTTGAATGAATTTTTTTATTAGATTTTGATGTGAATTGATATATATACATATATATATATATATATATATATAAATTTTTTTAAAAAATAATTGACATATCACCTATTGACATTATATTTTAAAAGTAAATTCTAAAGTAATTCATTGGGAATTGATGTTATTCAAAAGCATGATTTACACTTTTTCATCATTATCAAAAAAGAAAAAACTAGAAAATTGATTGTAAAACACTTGTAACCTTCATTTTGTCATACGAAGATTTTATTTTTATACTAATCTTTAAAATTTTCAATTTTAACATCGAAAATTATTCTTTTTTGGTAAGATCATAGTGAATGCGTGAAGTATACAATTTTTAAATTTTTTGAGACATCATTGAAGTCATTAAGTTTTGTCAAGTTGTTACACATTTCAGAACCTCCACAATTTCTCTACCTGGTTCAATCTACCAGATGCTAAACATTTTAATCCAACCCCCAATTAAAAGAAAAATCTAAAAAGAATATATACAGTCTTCTGCCAAACTTCACCATTCTAATGACATCTAAAGCCTGATAAATCATGCCATACGCTAATCCTAGACATCTCACATTTGATAATAAACTGTTGGATTAAATGTTCAATGTCGAATGTGGAAGCCGAAAGACAAATAGGCTCCCTGTTAAGATAAATGATAATCTCACCTCAGCTAAATGAGTACGATCTGAGACTTACCTACATTATTCGAAGACATAGACTCCTTGATGCTATCTCTGGTACAATAATCCAAAACGAAATGCATCTGGACGATTGCAGGGAGAACACCCAACTGAAAAACCCGACTGAGTGCTTTATCCATACAAGATGTCAGATGCAAAAAAGAGATCCTGAAACCAAACATGGGTCCTCTGCTAGTACATGTGCAAGACGTTGAAGAATCTGAAAGTCCTGGAGATGTACAATTAGGCTTCTGGCTTCCGCTGCAAAACTGACAAAGAGACCATCTCAAAATTTGCTGACGTAACGAACGAGAGTGCGCCACTGGTGATGAAGCATACCAGAGTCACTCAACAGCGAACTTCACACGCAAACTACGATAGAATGGTTCTCAAAAAATTGCATCTTCTACAGCAAAATCTATCCTTCATGCAAAATTCACTGCCAAAATGCCATCTGAATCTAGCCATCTGAATCTAGCCATCTGAATTCGTGCACAGGGAGAGGCTAGACATGCCATCCTGCTTGACAATTTCTCTTCATTTCTTTCACGGGGTTGTATGACGAACGGGATCCAATGTGCAGCTTCAACGCACCAGCCACAGCCGACTGATGCACGAAAGGCCAAAAGGCTACAAGATGGAGGAATTCTTTGAGTTGAAGTTGATTCATTTATTCGAGTGGATGTAGCAGATCAGCTCACCTTCCACGCCCATATTTCAAACAGCAACACTTTTAAGGTGAAAACTGAGCCTTCCAAGATCCCCTTGTGCCGCCTACAATGCTCCCCAAATAGTAAAAGTCGCAAGTAATGAACAGCTTGTAGGTCCACACGCGGTACGCAGAAGTCTTTCTTGCTCTGACGTTGGCAATATGTAGCTCATCTTCAGATGTTTTAGGACTTGGCGAATTTGATCACAAATCTTGCGATCATAAGAAAGAGTTTCTCGGCAGTCATCCTGAGGATTAGCATCAAGTCGAGATGAATTTTAGAATAAATGTAAGCAATAAGAGACAGTTATTTTTTGATGATAAACACAACAATGCGTGAGGAAACCATGCAGAGCTCTGTCATAGCTTCAGTTAATCTTCAGAGTCCTAAGGTAAAAATTGTTCTTACCTATCGTCATCACTGCTCTTCGGTGTTTTCTCTCCAGCATGCTCATTGTAATGATCAGGAGCATTTACACCGTTTGGGTATAAGAGCTTAGTGACACAAAGTTCTTCTGCTCTGTCTACTACACCTGTAGGAACCCCTTCCTTCCGAGCCACTTCAAAGGCTAGACTCTCCCTACAGGCACCATCGACCAATTTCCATGTTGGGTAATAACGACCACCCACCTCATTTGTGCCCATGGCCTTCTGTACAACGTTACTGCAAGTAAATACCAACAAGAAAAAAGTATTAGTACAACCATTATCTAAGTCGGCAAGCTCCTGTACAAACCAACGTTTCAGTTATTCTTGCTATCTATGATACACAAACGACGAACAGCATCTACACCAAAATAATTGATAAAATTTGTGGCAATCATTACCAGTAAATGAGTCCCAAAACTGTTAGCGTTACTAGGCAAGCTGACCGAGAAAATTAGACTTTCAATACGTGAAAAAGGGTTTGCCTACCTCGTTCGGAGTTCCATGTCCAAAAGATCATGTAAATGCGTTGAGAGAACACCGATGCAACCAATGCGATCCAGTGTTTCAATGACACTAGCAGCAATAAAAGAGCCTTTTCCTACATCAGTACCCCGACAAAGCTCATCGACCAGGACAAGACTTTTGTTTGTTGCTTCTTCCAGAATGGTTCGAAGCTCTGCCATTTCCTGTCAACAACCACCCTCAGAACGTCACTTGGTACCGATACACAAGCTGCTGCACTCAGAACCACCTAGCGAAGTGGATCGAAGGACTTTCACAGAGACATCTAAAGACATCTGTTTGAAAAACACGACAGGAAATGGTTAAAATAAATTGAACGAAGTGCAATCAAAGAGTACAAAAAACATCCCAGAATTGCAGGAAAGATCCTTACAAATCTCTTTGAAATGTATTTCTTTGACAAACTGGAATGGTCTAGTCCTAGGTTATCGAATACAGAGCTTCTGAAGGTGGAAAATTTCGCAACATCATGCACATACCATTTGAAATGCACTCTTGCCATCAGCAGGACTATCTGTGGACATCATCCGCAAAATGATAGCATCCAAACGAGGCACTGAGGCCTCACGAGCAGGCACCATAAGACCACAGGTTGCAAGAAGAGCACCCGCACAAATTGACCTCAACATGCTGGACTTTCCACCTCCATTGGGTCCTAATGGCAAAACAAGAAGTTAAGTACGCAGATCCTTCTCACCTCTGCATCAGCTACTACATGCCGCAGGCCTCCATACTAATTTTCCTTTACCATTAAACTAAAGCAGAAAACTATCAGCCTCAATGGCAGCAACATCTACAGAAAAATGACAAATTCAGAATAACATTCAAACAAGCACAAGACACCGTTTGTTCCTGAAATGACATCCTCTCAACAATCTAAAAAATGATTAACCAGTTCGCCAATGAGAAACGAGCGTACGTTGCTGACACATTGACAACCTACAAGAAACTCACTTAAAAACTCCCTACAGATAAAAAGAAGCATATGATTATGTGAGAAAACTTCAGTAATATGGATGAGGTATGATTCAATCTACTGAAACGATGAAAAGTAGTATCAGAGAAAAATCCTCGATAAGCGAGCAACTGTACCTGTAAGAAGGAACATGGACTTCATGTCAACCAAATTTGGCTGCACTTTCTCATGTGCCAGATCATTCCAATACGGCACTAGATCGGCAAGCACCATCTGCCTTTCTGTTGAGGAGAGTGTTGGCACAGCCCAGTTACGACGCGACCCTTCCGTTACATGAAGGTTTAATGTTTTTGCAATAATGGACAGGGTCGAGACAAATATCAGCACCTCAATCTTAGGTTGTAAGTCTTCTGATATGGCTCTAAGTAACTCTAGGATTCTCACATTAGCCTTGTCAACTGCTGCACGATACTTTCCTAAAGAGCTTTCAACCTTACTTGTTGTCCACCACTCCTCACCCACCTTCTTCCCCTTGGCATCAACGGCTGGAACTAGGCAATTCAGAGCTACAACCAGAGAAGAATCAGCCCCTGCTAATGACTTGATGTTTTTTCCTTGAAGCCACACGGCTTGATCCTCATAGCTGTAGCATATTTCAACTTTCAAGCCCTTAACATTGTCCTCTTCCATGCGCGACACAATTGGACAGAAATCGTCGTTAATTGCATTGATGAGCTCATTGGCTGCATCATCGACTTCTCTATAGACCTCTTCAGCATGCTCTCGCTTCACACGGCCTCTCCAACCGTCCTCCAAGTCCCTGAAAAAGTCGTCAGGAATCCCTGCACCCTGGCTCCTCGTTTGATCCTGGTCACCCTCAGATGCTAGCATTTGCCCCAATTTGCCCGAAAGCATCTTGCAATCAGAAATCAACTGTTTTCTTCCAATACGAAGGCCTGCCATGACGACTCTCAAGAGAAGTTAATGACAATCTAGCAATCAGTGATGACATATCATTCTCAGTTCTACTCAGAAATGCTCTTCGAATTCTCTGAGAACTTATGGGATATTTTTCCAGAACAAAACACCCTGTTCGAATCAACTAACATCATAGCTGAATGAACACTAGAATGTAACCTCTTACATAAGTACAACGACGACGTGTAAATATCTGAGAGCATTATCCGAAGGTATTATACAGGCATCATCCAAAGGTTTGAGGGTATGGATAACCTGTAGCCAACCAAGCCGGTTCAAGCAGCTGGTCCAGAACACCAGATAGTAGAGAGTTACTGCTCATGTAAAGGACATCTTCCGCCAATCGCCGAATTCTCGACAACTCAACGTGATTCGCTTCCTTGGCCTCTACCAACCTTTTCAGCTTAGCCGCTGACACACACGTGAAATCTGGGACAGAGCTCGTGATCCCGCTAAGAGCCGCGCAGGCCCCTTGCATACACTCCGCCACTCGGTAAGGAGGGGGATGCAACAATAGATTCCGAAGATACGAAACACACAAATGATTGGCCTCTTTCGGAAGAACCGCGTCCAGCAAGCTGGGGACTCCTGTGGTGGGTATAATTCCTATTTGAGAGGCAGTGCCGACGTAGAGGGGTCGTGGCCTCTCTCCTGGTGGAACTAATATTTCTCGAAATTCTGCCAATCCATCTAGACCATAGATATCTCTTACTCTAGCGAGCAGGTCGTCAATGGGATCGTTTTCATACCATTCATAGTGCAGCCTTTGGCATTCATTCCATAGTAAACCACGTTTTCCCCAACTTCCATTGTCTGATGACTGAACATGTAAGGAGCTATGTGTAAAGAGCTTGTGACATCTGTGAGCACGTAGCAAGGCTAAGGTTGCCTCCTCAGTAAGTCCATCTTCTACTGCAAAGGTGCGCATGATTTCGGAGGCAAAGATTAAACAGTAACCTCTCTCTGAGTGGGAAATTCCAATAACTGATACAGCATCTGGAAACTCTAAGTCTATGTTCTGGGCAGCTAAACCGTAAATAAACGGGCTACCAGGATGAGCGTGCCCTGCAATGAAGCGCTCTTTACGACGACCACGCCCGGTCACTGCTCCTTGCACCTCCTCAACAACACAGACGGAAAATCCCTCTTCAGTCAGTTCATCGATGGCTTGCCGAAGATTGACAACTGGGCAACCAGCCTTAGGAACCGAGTCTTTCCGCCCCACAGGGGCTACCCCGACATACTCAACCAGCAAGCAGGCATCCACCCCAACAGCTTCATAGATATCTGCTGTTCTGCATAGAAAAATCTCTCGAGGAAATGAAGCCTTCATTTCTAGGAGCTCTGCGCTTTTCGTGCCCTTCTTGAGACTCCCACCACGAAGTGACTCGTCCAATCCAAGTGGGTTTGTGAACTTGAGCCGTTTCATCATCTCTTTAGTCAACGGTTTCCGGCACTTTTGCAATTTCTGGCTCCACCAATCGATGTGACTTTGACCTATATCCCTTGACATCTCAGGCGTAACAGTTTCCTCGTAGACTTGAGCATCAGGCGCCACTAGAGTTTCCAGCTTCGAATAACACTTGTGCCGATGCGATTTATTCCGTACTATGGGCTTGGAGAGACTGGCAGCGTGAAGATGTCGGGCCTGCCTCTTCAACTGGTTTGCTGTTAATGCACTTTCAAATAACGACAACCTTGACAGATTGCTTGAGTGACCTGCTTTCGAGGCAATTCGCCCCAAAGTTCTGGACAAGACCATAGAGTGCACCCTATGGATGGCTGCCATAGCTGACCTACACTCTCGAATCTTCTTAAATTGCAAAGAATGCACTGCTAGAACGTAAGACTTCCGCTCCACATGCGTCACGATCCAGTATTCCTATAAGTGATGCAAAACAGCAGCAATCCTTAGATTTCGGTATTGAAAATAGTTGGGGAACATGTGACTGTCGAGACGAGCTGATATTTACATCTCAGTCCAACTAAGTACTTCCTCAAAAGATATCCACTCGTGGCAAAAAATCGCAGAGAGGTCCAGATGAGAGAAAATTATAGCGCCTAACCCTACGAGTACAAGTTGGGCTAGAGAGATGGCAACAAACCAATACTTCGAACCGCTTGGCATGGAACTCGAGGCTGGCCCCTGCAGTATTCTCAAGCACGAGTTCGAATTTCAAAGTACTACAGACATGGAGTCTAAATCAAGCAGAATGACAGAGAGAAAGAAAAAAAGATAGTAAATAGAATAAAACAACTACACAAACTTAAGCAGTCGTCTACATCAAGTACGTAAATCAAACAGCGACAGTAGGAATATGTGATAAATATCTAAATTTAAAACATCAAAACTAACCGCAAGCCACAGCAGCAGAGAATGCTGATATTGCAAAACGGGCGATCAAGCGTGCACATCGCAAAAAATTCAAGAACTTCGCAAGAAATCTAGATGACCCTTGCTGTTAAGAGTAGGTTGAAACAAAGAAGAAACGAAGTGCGTCCCTGAAACCGGTTCGACTCCCTTCTGAGTCTAGTTTTCTTGCTCCCTGACAGAGGAACCATCTACAAGAATAATGTCTCCTCTACGCGGCAAAGCATGTAAGTAATTGAGGCAAGAACTTGTACCTCACTACGCTTCATAATTCTAATCAACCCTAAAATCACGTTAGAGAGACGCTACTTCGGTTACAACTCCACAAATTCCTCAAGAAAAGACGAAAAAAACTGAAAACAACCGAAAGAAACACAAACCTCGCAATAACTAGATAATGACGAGCGGCAAGGAATCTGAAGCAAACAGAATCGCTTACGAACAGCTAAACCGGCAACAATCCACCTGCGTCGACTTTCGATCACTCTTCATATTGAACGCTTAACAGAACCCAAAAACGAAACATTGAAATTCAAAAGGAGGCGAATTCGCGCGTCGTGTAATGGAGAGTAATGTCTCGAATGGGGTGCTCACACTACAAGAAGCACAATACGCAGAACCGTCATCGCTTCATCTTCTGGAGCACTCCTCCCTCATTTATGGCAGTTAGTCAAAACCGAAACTAAACGAGTTCATGGCGATGACGAGTATCTCTCCAGCATCGTGAGGTTTTAGTATCACAATGCAATGTAACGCTGCAATCTTGCATTTGGAGAATACTGACTTGGAGCGGCGCCAATGGTTCTGAGGCTGTAGGGTTTAAGAATGCACCTGTGGGGTATCACGGATAAGGATATCAATGAATGGGAGGACCAAAAGTGTAACTTATGCTTCATTGTTTTACCGATAGTGAGGTAATTAGCACGAGCACTCGGCGGGTAGTGATTTTCGCCAGTGAACTCTCATCGGTTCCGTGAGCTGTGAGGTGAACCCATCTTTGCAATTAAGTTACGAGAATCGTGTTACGGGGTTCAACAAAAGGCGATCAAGCGATATAGCTTCTAATCCAAACTGCATAAGCAAGGATATTGAGAGGATATTTATTTCTTTATTCAATAAAAGAGGTGTGGAGTAACTCTGTTGTACTGAAGAAACAGTTTCAAGGCCGTAGTTTTTCAAGCTGCTACGATTACATTCAACTTCCCGGGACAAAATGCTTGGAAGCAAGGAACAGCAACAACAATAACCCTAAGAAACACACTTCCTGAAAGTCCACGAATACAGTCGTCATCTCAAATGACTGCATGTTCCATAGTGACTACTAATACATCAAATCTGTCAACACATCTCGTAACAGACCAAATCAGAAGTACAACACACGCAACCCCAATAAAGAATTAATGATGTCTACGCTCTAAATAAGTCAAGCTTCTCTACAAGTACCAACCACGCAACCAAGTCTACAACGCAGTGAACGTGAAGTACAAACCCTAAATATAAGTGGCAGGAAAAGGCCCTGGGCTGCAGACACGCCACCTGTTTGCCAATGATCTACAGGTAGCGTATATCATCTTTACCTCAAGGCACAACCTGCATGCGGGATTATTCAACCAGCAATAATTTAACGTTTAAAATTAAATTAAACTAAATGTAAAAACCAGGTCCAGCCCTCCTCTCTACCAAACTAATGAAACATACAAGCGAGCAATCAAGCCACAAGCAATCGAATACGCGAGACAAAGACCCCCATGGCGTGAGGTGGTCACTCGATCTTCTTCACAGGCATGGCTTGGAGACCACCCTCCACTCGCTTCTGCACCTCGAAAGGCATGTGCGTCCCGCATAATTTATCCCACGTGCTGAAGAATGGCTGTGAAAAGTTATATTTGGTGCCGTGCAACTGATGGTGAATGTCATGGTAAGCCGAGTTGTTGTTGAAAATCCGCTGAAGAGGGTTGTAGGGCAGCCACAAGCCACAGTGGTCGTCGATGGTCTTGATGGTGGCGAAAGAGAAGAAGAAGATGGACGTTCGAGGAGTCATTCCCGTCACCAGAAAGGAGATAGCACCGCCAACAGTGTCCAGCAGCAGGCCTTCCAAGGGATGATTGTACAGCGCTCCGAAGGCGAATGGCACCACCAACCGGTGGTGTTGGGAGTGCACGTGCTTGTACATAAACTTGTTAATGTGCATCCACCGGTGGCAGAAGTACTGCCAGGTATCCATTATGAACATGGCCACCACAAACTGGAGCGCCGCAATCCATAACGGTGGCTGCTGTACTACCCCCTCTTGACCGGTTACCTGCTCGAAAGAAGCACAAGTTCATTTATCAAACCGAATTCGTATCCTGAAAGAAAATTGTGTATAAACGCTTGCAATGCAATTATCAAAAAACCCAACCAAATCTACCCCTGATCATAGTCCTTCCAAAGATACCTTAACCGCTTGAGCATCAGATTCGGCACGAGTATGTGAAAAATTGACACACTAATCGGTCAACAGTAATTAGGCGATAAGCCGCCACTTGTTTATTTCTAGAGCTCACGTCTTGGGAGGTTTTCGGAATAAGTAGAGCAACCATGTTTAACCTAGAGCCCGCACCGAATTCAAATTAGAAGCAGATGCTTTTCATATATAAATTGACACCCAAGAACAATGTATCCCTACTATACCAATGTTCGCTGCTCATGAGAGAATCTCGAAAGAAGATGATGGTGTGCCGATCATGTGCTCAAACGGCAACGGATGGGGATTAGCTCTTTAGGGTCGCTACCTCACCGCTAGAGGTAACAAACCAGAGGCATACTCATGGTGAAATTAGCGGAGGAATAATCGCGAGTATAGCTTCAGACATAAAATGTCGCACGTATTCATCTAGGATTTGCCGAGCTATGACCCTATTCACCAAGTTCCACCCGACCCTGCTCCAAGACTGAAGGTCCCGAGGGTGAACAAATTTCTACAACTAGATTTAAATATTCTTAAACGGGGATTTATTTAGATAGTGAAAACGAAGTCTCTGTGGAAATTAGCAACATACTATCCAAGGGAAAAATAGAAGACAAAGCTTCGAGAGAATTAGGTTAGCAACATACTGTAAACAGAAGCAGAGCGACAGCGACTTGGACCACTTGCTGCAACAGCACACCTTTAACCACTTGCGGCACAGTCACCAAGTTCTTCTCCTCTTCCTCGACCGAATGCAAACGATACTTCTCATACGGTGGAATCACGTAGTGATACATCCCTGAGTAAATCCAGTACACCACAATGGGCGCGAAAGTGCCCAGCACCTCATCGCTGACATAATCCTCCCAGAACACCATCTTCACGAAAACCCAGCTGCTCTAACACCATACAACCCCCTTTCACAAATCCTCTTCCGCCCACCCAACCCCACAACCACAGATCTCTCACCTCACGCAACAAAACAGCCAACCCTCGCGGAACCCAACTCGTAACCTCTTCCTCTTCTTCCTCGTGACTTCTTTTGTCGAAGCCCTCGTGCTCAGTGTACCCTAAACCTTCGAATCCTGCCGAATCGTCGGCTTCTAAACCTGGTCTCCGAAGTTTTGCAAAATCATATCCTGCTGATGCAGCAGCTTCTAAACCCAAATTAACAACGGAGAAGGCGGCGTGGAATGTTTCCGGCCAGCGGATTGTCTGGATCTCGGCGAAGACACGGAGTGAATCGAACTCGTGTTGCACTGACGTCCACTTACAAGTACTCGAGATTTAAGATACTCTCACTCAAATTCCTGACGTGAAGCTGCGAAGTGCCCAAGCAGCTTTGGTTTCACGCGGCGCTCACCCCACTCATATGCGTACTGGTACGAGTACTCGTATTGATACGGATACGAAACCACGTAGGCAGTTCAATGGGCGTTGGCCTGGCGCCTATGGGAGCCGTGAGGTGGCAGATCATATTTGGGTGCAACCCTTAGGTGCTGCTGATGTACTTTGGACGACGTTGCAATAACGATGGGTCACGGATCATATTGTGACAATGTACTCCAAAATGTGTTTATGTTTATGTAAAAAATTAAAAATAAATAAAACTAAAAAAAATCGAGAAATATTAAACAGGATAAATTTAATGAAAAATAAATAATTAAGAAAAATAAATAATAATAATTATTATTATTATTAGATGTATACAAAAGTTTTTATGTGTCTACTGCAAAGTCATTAGGTTGTTGTCTCTAAATTACCTTTATTTTTGGATAATAGCTTTATTTGTTGATTTAGTTTTAATGGAACTATCTTATATTAATTTAGTTTTTAGAAAATGTAACAGCCTTTCTTGCCTACAAGATGTGATTAAAGTCTTTAATTGTACCTTTAAAGTATGTTTTATACATAATTGTGTTCTTTTTAAATGACTCTTTCAAAAATAAATAAAGTCTTTTAAACATAATGCTTTTCATTTTGATGTAGAATGTATGATTAAATATACATTAATTATCAAAATAAACTTTGATAAAATATGCTAATAGATTTTTAAAATAAATTTTATTCTAATTATTTTAAATATTTATAAAAAATAATATTTAAAACTTTTTAAATATATATATATATATATATATATATACATCTTGGACATATATATTTACGCCAATAGTTACTTATATGATTAGGTAGAAGAAGGTAAATATAGTTTAATTTCATAAAGTCTTCTAGAAAAGCTTTTTAGAAGCTATATAGACACAGTTTTGACTTTAGATGTATTTATAGGTTAGAAACTTGATCAACAAGTTAACCACATGTTGGTAGCTTGTGGAACAAGTTAACTTCAAATAATAGCTTGTGTAGTAGCTTTCTTCAGCTCAATAGGGACCATGTGGCTAAAATCTCATGTAACTCCTAGTAAAGGTCCTATTCTCTCTTCAAATCCCTCACCTTGTTTTAAAATAGGAATTTATTTAGGACCAAAAAATTACAAAGCCTTAGCCTTGTTGGATTTAGGAGCTTGAACATATTTTATAAATAAAGACTTTGTCAAAAAACAAGATATATCCTTAGTTAAAAAAACCAAACATGTGCATATAGAAATAATAGATGGACGTTCATTATCTTTTGGAGATGTTACATATGAAACTATTCTTGTAGAAATAGCAATTAGTTGTCACAATAGTTTAGTAATATTTAATGTGATTAAATCTCTTTCTAATCCAATTATTTTAGGACTATCATGGTTAGAAAGATATAACCCTTCGATAGACTAGATTTCTTATAATCTTGATTTTTTCTATAGTTTACCTCGAGGTCTTGCTACATATTACAGACATACATATTTACCTTGATAATTATCTAGATAATAAGAATAGATAGAAATAAGTCAAAATAGATAAATATTATAATATCTTGAGGAAAGCTTCTTAAAAGCTTCATAGACTTTGCTTTGCCTTTATACATGTCTATAGGTGATTGATAGGTTAAAAACTTGGCCAACAAGGAGGCCACGTGTCGACATGTTGACCACTTGTAGTATAAGTTGGACATATGGTATACACCTAAGAAACTTGCCTTTGCAAATTAGATATGTGTCCTGCAAGTTATATGCATATTAGAGGTCCTATAGCATATCACCATGTATTTCTTAGTTAAGTAGTATATATAGAGGCAAGAGTGAGGCCTTCCTCATTCTTATCAATTCTTTTCTTTCTTTTAGTCTTGTTTCAAGAGTCTTATATTTTCTAATCTTTAATAATAGCCATTCCAGTTCTTCCTTGAATATACATACTTTCTTCTATTTTGTCACTTTCTTTTTGACACAGATTCCACAAATTTATGTATCTTCTTCCACTTTGTATCCTTGACAGATTGACAAGAATACACATATAATTTTAGAGCTTTGTCCTTTCTTGATTAAAAGTAGATTACCCCTTTTTCTTGATAAGACATAAACATATTAGAAGTTATAAATTATCCACTTCTAAATTCATATTATTTCTAGAATTATTTTTTTCTTGATTCTTGAGTATTGTATTATGTAAAAATAGACACCTTTCTTTTTATTGTGCTAGCATGACAGAGCTTGCTGAAATAAAGAATGCAATGGCTCAAATGCAAGAGCAAATGAGAGAGTAAATGCTTACAATGTATCAATTCAATCTACCACCACAAGGAGCAACAAGATTATCAGGCAATGAAGATATAGAGATGATTGGAGTTTCTTCAACATCTACACCAAGCTATATTACTGTTCCTACAACGGAACATCGTTTAAGTTTCAAGCAACCAAAAATTGGATTAACTGAGAAGTTTGATGGCTTAAGATCTAAGTTTCAAGGATTCATCAATCAGGTACAATTGGTGAATGAACTACAACCTCAAAGTTATCCAACTCAACGATCAGAAGTCAAGTTTATTAGAACATTACTTTCAAGTTCTATTTTATCATGGTTTTCATTATTTCTTGAATGATATGATCTAATATTGGATAATTTGGAAGCATTCTTAGCAGAGTTTCGATCTATGTATGGAAAACATAATACAATCCATATTGCAACCAACAAGATTTGTATCTTATGATAAGGCAATTGATCAGTGACATTATATGCTTCACAATTTCAATAATTAGCGATAGATATCAAGTAGGATGATGCAGCACTCATCAGCCAATTTCTCTATAGATTATAATATGAAGTGAAGAAATTGATGCTCAATTTATTTGATCTTTATACATTAAGTCAAGCAATTGACTTTGCTGTAAAATGTAACAACAGACTTTTTGAATATCAATCTAAAAATCACACAAGAGAACCTCAACATTATTATAATTCAATGACAATACCAATGACTTTTCAATCTAAGCATTTAGAAGTAAAAGACATGCAAATTGATGTAGTACGTTTTAAACCTCTTACCAAACAAAAAAAGACTCATTGTCATCAAAAAAGACATAACATTATTGTAGAGAAGCTAAACACATTACTCAATATTGTCCAAAGAAATGATGCAACTATAAAATAAAAAGTATTGCTGTCAAAGATGAAAACATATCAAAAAACAAATTTGTCCAACTACAATAGGGACCGTGCAGCTAGAATCTTATACAATTCCTAATGAAGGTCCTATTCTCTCCTTAGAATCCTCTCTTTATTTTACAATAAATGTATTTTTAGGATCTAATAATCACAAAGCCTTTGCTTTAATAGATTCAAGAGCCTCGACTTGTTTTTTAGATGAAGAGTTTGTTAAAAGTCATAATATACAGTTATTACAAAAAACTAAACTCATATACATAGAAGTCATAGATGGTCATCTGTTATCTTTTAGAGATGTTACTCATAAAATACTTCCTATAGATGTAGTAATAAATGGTTATAATATTCAAGTAATTTTTAATATAATTAGATCTCCCTCTAATCCAATCATTTCAGGTTTATCATGGCTAGAAAAGTATAATCCTATGATAGATTTGATTTCTTATAAACTTAATTTTTCTTCAAATATCATTAAGAGTTTTTCTAATCCAATAAAAAGCTATGAGTCTAGTGTAGCCAAACATGTACTTATAGGTACAAAAGCTTTTTTGCATGCTACAAAAAAAGGATTATCTTTTGTTATTTACGGCACATCCATTTTAAATGATGGAAAGATTTCAAGTAAAATTCCAAGTAATATTTACTTTGAATGTTTTTTAGAAAAAAAATGCAAATATTTTTGATGAGCATCATCCATATGATTGTTCAATTGATCTTAAAGAAGAAACTCAACCGCCATTTGGTTCAATCTATAATTTATCACAAAATGAGTTGGTTGAACTCAAGAATTATATTGATGAGAACTTGGCTAAGAATTTCATACGCCATTCAAAATCTCCTACAAGAGCTTCTATCTTATTTGTGAAGAAAAAAGATTGATCATTGTGAATGTGCATGGATTATCAAGGACTCAACAAGATTATCATCAAGAATAGATATCTTCTACTTTTTATAGCTAGACTTATTGATCAATTAAATCAAGTTAAGATCTATATAAAAATAGATCTATTAGGAGCATACAATGTGATCTGCATTAAAGAAGGAGATGAATGGAAGACTACATTTGAAACAAGGTATGGACACTTTGAATATAATGTCATACCTTTTGGACTCAAGAATGCACCAACCGCTTTTCAACATCTTATGAATGATATATTTTGTAAGTTTTCAGATGATTTTGTTGTTTGTTACTTAAATGATATTTTAATCTAATCTAAAAATATAGAAGAACATGAAGTTCATATTCGTCGTGTGTTACAAAAACTTAAAGATACAAGTTTGTATACCAAGCTAAAAAAGTATATATTCCACACTACTCAAGTTGACTTCTTAGAATACATCATTTCAAACAATGGTTTAATAATGGATCCTATATAAGTTCACTTAATTATGGACTGGAAGATTCTAAAAATAGTAAAAAATGTACAATGTTTTTTGGAATTTATCAATTACTATCAGATCTTCATCAAGAACTTTTCTCAAGTTGCAGAGCCATTTATATGCTTAACTTATAAAGACAAGCTCAAGTAGAGTAAAGAAGCAGAAGCATCATTTGAAGCTTTGAAGAAAGCTTTTACTTTTGTATCAATCTTGTATCACATCAACTTTTCTAAAGCATTTTTTATGGAGATATATGCATCTGAATTTTTCTTAAATGCAGTCTTATTACAAATAGGAGCAGATGAAAAACTTCATCCAGTAGCTTTTTATTCAAGAAAATTTTCAACAGCTAAGATTAATTATAAGATCCACAATAAAGAACTTCTTGCAATCATGGATTCTTTTGAAGAATGGTATCATTATTTAGAAGG